GCACCGGCCCTGGGTCCCCTGCCTGGAAAGGATGGGGGGAAAAACGGTTCTAGTTCGGGCAGAGTTATGAAAAACGATCCGAATTTTGGAAATCCCGGGTGGTTTGACCGATTCTGGCTTGCCACCGACTCTGGCACAGCTGCCTGGAGTGCCGCAGAGCCCCGGCCCCCGGTTTCCCCTCAGAAACCCACCGCAGGCTTACACTGTGCGACTGGTGATACCAAGTTTGTGTCGGGCAGTAAGAGGCACATTAGAGATTTATTAGTAAAACTAAAGGTAAGGCGCTTTCAGAAATGCTGTGTTGGCATAGGTGTGATTTGAAGGTTGCTGCGTGTGAGCATTATGCAGTTAAGAGCTGGCGTCTTCAAAATTCCTTACTGGTATCTCCTAGAAAAGCAAAATTAAATAGCTTCTAAGTTGTGAGACATTTAATTGGTGGTGGAAGGCCCACCAGGGCTCAGGTGGGTTAGTCAGGTGGCTGACACCCCTCATCCACAGCGACACTCTCAGGCATTAAACCATTAAGGCTCTGATTTCTTCAGAGAGGTGGAATATGCTTCTGAATCAGCAGGAGTTGAGGTGTTGCCCCGCTAAGCTGCGGGACGCAACGTGCTGGTTGTTCGAGGAGAGAGCGGGTAGCCATTGAAGCGTAAACCTCCCATTCCTTCTCACCGCTTGTAACCGTAGCTCAGATGTGCTGGCCTCCCAGATGGTTTGGCACCTGCTGAGTATGCGATTTCCTGCTCACAGGGGGCTTGTAAAGGCTTCATTTCTCTAACGTGTTAGTTCTTTCTCCCACATTCTTGGTGATTATTAGACAGGAGCGTTTCCACCTGCGCTGACGTGGAGTTACGTGTTTTGTTGCTGGCCATGGCATGCAGTTCTGTGGGTCTGTAGGCTTCACTGAGACCCTTGTGTGTAGGAGGAAAGGCCACTGTTACACTGACAGTTGATGCCTGATCTCAGTTAATGTTATTAGTGGATTTATATATGACGTTTTCAAGCTCAGCATTTGAGGTTTTGTTTATGGGTGGGAGATTTTACACAAGTGCTTCTCTATGTGCGGAATCACTCTGTTGGTGGATGCTCTCATTCCCTTTCTCTGTTAACTTAAAGTGCCATAATGCTGGGAAAAAAATTCCGTAGGAGGCATTATTCAGTACCAACTATAGTATTTTATGTATTTTTTTGTCACAGTACTTTAATCTGAAAGAACACCCAGTGACAGGACAGCCCGTGGTGAAAGTCAGTTAAGCTTTCTGTGGAGTTTTTTTATTTCTACTGCTTGCACCTTAGCATAGGCATGTTTGTGCATAGTTGGTGTGCTTAATTTTGCGGTGCTGCCAGGAGGTCTTCCATGAGAGGTTACTTTGATGTCTGATGTTAAAATTAAATCTTAACTAAAGCCTTGTTTTCTTTCTAGGTTGGATGTAAAATCTAAACTTCTTCCGGGTGTGCCTCTAAAACATTTCTTGTTTCTCCACGTAATTTTCCCGATGGAGGACCAGCCGGGGTTCCCTTTCTGCTGTTCGTGCTGAGTAGTTGCTTGGAGAGGTGGTGAATGAGTGAAGATATGCTCAGTGATGGTAAGGTGTACGATTACATTTCAAGGCTTTTCTGTTGCCTTCTGTGAAGGCTCAGGCACCGTATTAATGGGCTCTGAGCCAAAGAGGAGAAACCTAAAACCGCTTGGCTAACTGCCAGAGTGCATATAGCCAGTTTCTCCATCTCTTAGCCAGTCGTATTGTTTTAATCAGCACCTAAAGACTTGCTGAAGTACAGCTGATTTGGTTCCGCTGGAATACAGTGTGACGAGCAAGACCTCCCTCCAGACCTGTTCCTAGTCTGGAACAGCTGGTAGTAATTCCAATTCCACCACCCAGCTCCATAGGGAAAACCAAAAGTGCCACTGAAGATGCACGAAAAAAAATAAAGCAGCACTGCGTCAGCGTGTTAAAAGATGTCAAAGCCCACCTTGATTTCTTAGGGTTTGCGAATGAGGGACTTGCTAGCTAACAGTTGCTCTAGTTAAATAAGGCTTGCCTTTTTGCAGGGGATGCAGTGAGTTAACTGGTAAAACGCATCCTAAAACCAGCGTGCCTCTGTCTCCATATTCCCTGCCCCCTGTGCAGTTTCATTGATCCCCGAGAGCAAAGTAGTGAGAGGTTTAAGATGCTGTTACAACTTCAATATAAAAAAAATCCTAGGAATATTTGTTAAATGAGCAAGTGGCTGAGATACTTTCAGGAGTTTCTAGTGAGAAATTTCAAAACTAAAAGATTTGGAGTGACTGCTGCTTTACAAAGTTGAGCAGATTAAACGAAGTCATGGAAAACGCTTGACTCTTCCCTTAATTAGATTTTTAGTAAGCAATTGGGGCTGGATGAAAAGACCTCCAGTGGTCTCCTCCAATCTCAACCATTCCGTGACTCTGTGATTCAGCGCTCAGCTGGGAGCAGTAAGCAAACTCTGCTTAACAGAGGGAGATACTGTGTGATTTCCATCTGTTCTGACCGTGGATGTGTTTTTATCGGCACTGTCTTCACTAGCTTGTGACAACAGCAGCAAAGCACTGTGTGTGCTCTGTAGTACAGTGAAAATCCCCAATCCCGTGCGGTAGCATGGCTCCGTTGAGACGTGAACCACTTGTGGTTTTTTCCTCCTCTTCGAAACTTTGCTACGCTGATTCCTGTTTATCCGATTCTTGTCCTTCTTTTCCTAAGGTTCAAATGTGGGAATTGCCCCGGTTGTGGTTGCTGCTGATGCTGCCCTGGGAAAATGCCTTGATAAGGAATTAACACCATTCAGTGATGGGCTGTGGGACAAGCAAAGTGCTTCCCGAGCCCCCCAAAGATGTGCAGCTAGACCTGGTTAAAAAAGTCGAACCTTACACAAGCCGCAAGGACATATACAAGCATTTCATCAAAGATGACTGTGGGACTGTCATCAAAGCTGGCTCTCCCTCACCTCCGCATCACGCTAACCCTGGGAACCACCTGCCTGCCCACATGGACCAGCCCGAACCCCGCAAGAACAAAGTGGCTAAATACCGTGCCAAATTTGACCCCAGAGTGACAGCCAAGTATGACATTAAAGCTCTGATCGGGAGAGGGAGTTTTAGCCGCGTTGTGCGGGTGGAACACAAGGCTACCAAGCAGCCCTACGCAATCAAGATGATAGAGACCAAATACCGGGAGGGGAGGGAAGTGTGCGAGTCGGAGCTGAGTGTGCTACGGCGGGTTCGGCACACCAATATCATCCAGCTTATTGAGGTGTTTGAGACCCAGGACCGTGTGTACATGGTGATGGAATTGGCGACCGGAGGAGAACTGTTTGATCGAATCATCGCTAAAGGTTCCTTCACTGAGAGAGATGCTACGCGTGTGCTGCAGATGGTATTAGATGGTGTGAAGTACTTGCATACGTTGGGTATCACGCACCGGGACTTAAAACCAGAGAATCTTCTGTACTACCATCCGGGAACAGATTCCAAAATCATGATTACGGATTTTGGACTGGCAAGTGCTCGGAAGAAGGGAGATGACTGCCTGATGAAAACCACGTGCGGGACCCCAGAGTATATTGCTCCCGAGATCCTGGTCAGGAAGCCGTACACGAACTCTGTGGACATGTGGGCGCTGGGCGTTATCTCCTACATTCTCCTGAGCGGCACTATGCCTTTTGAAGATGACAACCGCACCCGCTTGTATCGGCAGATCCTGAAAGGAAAATACAGTTACTCAGGCGAGGTGAGTGTGGCAGGAGTTACGGTGAGGGGAAGTCAAGCAAGAAGCTCTGCGTAGGTGGGTCTTTGTGATGCCCAGAAGCTGGCTGTCGTGTGCAGGGTGGTAACATTATCAGGTTTAAAAAAAAAAAATAATCTGTGATTCTGGCTTTTAAAATCCTGTGCTGTTTTCTGTCTGCTTTCAAAACTGCTTCCAGAGCAGCATAGTGAACTCTTTTTAAAACTCTGTACGTAAAGGAAGAAAAGATCCCTTCCTGGAGAACAGAACTGGGATGCTTGTGGGTTTCTACCTGGGGAGATGTCAGCCGTGGTAAGCTGCTGTTTGACGCTTCATTGTTGAAATTCATGCCAGGATGAGTTTGAAATGTAGCATGTACATACCTAGCCTGATTTCTGATACAAATCCAAGTGTACTCTGAAAAATACCTTTGTTGAAAGGCAAGGTTATGGCAGACAGAGGGGCACTTGCTTCTTAGATCTGGAGACATGAGCATTTCTGAAATCAATCTGCATTGTCTCCTGAGCTTAGTTTGTGACAAAAATGAGGATTGAAGGATGGTTTTCTGAGATAACTATGGAAAGAGGAACCTTGGGGGGTAGATTTTAGGCAGAAGATGGGTGTCCCTATTCTCCCAGAGACCTATCACTCCGTAGAATGGCCGGGTGCCAGGCTGACACAGCTCCTGCTGACTTCCTGCTGGTCATGGTGGGAGATCTTGACTAGCAGCCGGCTCCTCTACCAGCTCACTGGCCAAGAGTCGGTATAACCTCACTAAGAATCACAGCTATAGAAAGTGGGGCTATCCAAATTTGCAAGTTGCCTTTCTGCCTATATCCCTCACTGGAAACATTAAAAAATTAAGCTTTTGTAACCTCTTCCCCTTTAATAAGGGAGGAGAGTGTTTAGATTCCTGAATGCCATGACTTTGTGAGATGAAGCCCACTGGGAAAGTGTTCATGAGTGGCTAAGTTTATGCTTCTGAAATGACAGTAAAATAGCTGTCAAAAAACCAGAATGAATTAATGATTCTTGTGTTTTTAAGTATGACAGGTATGTTGGCATTTTAATGATGGATGGAAGGAGTCTAACATGTTAAGTTTTTAAACATAGTAAGCTTCTTTAGGATTGTGTTTCAAAATAATAATAAATGACTGAAGGGTTTTTAGAGGTGTCAGTAAGTCTTTTATACTTAAAAGCTGTCAGGCCGGCTTGTGTTAATAGTTGGAATATCTAAGTTCAGTGGAGCTGAGGAATATTGCTGTTTGCATAGGAAGCCATCGAGGAGAGCCCAGATCTGACACCTTCGTGAATCTTGTTAATTCTTCCCATGAGTGCTCCTTAGAAAATCCCTGGCGTGCAAAGGAGACACAAATGTGAGGAGCCATAAACACCCAAATTTTGCACTTTTTGGACCGAGTGTGTTACTTCCTTTAGAAACTGCAGTACTTGATTAGTTTCTTGCCAGAAGTATTCTATCAACTGCTTCCTTGAGCTCTAAGCTTCAGCTGACTTTTGGCAGCCTTTGCTTTGTTTCGTTAATTTGCCTCATTAATATGTTTTCTTAACCAGCTGCAGAGTGTTAAGAATGCAGTCGGGTTATCCTAATGCAGAAACAGATTAATTCCCAGCCACATGTTACATCTGTAGGGTCACACTGAAAGGCCAAGTCCTAGTTACCTAGTTTACCTTATAACCAGTCGTGGTAGATGCGTTAAATGATTTTTCTCATGTGAAAAGGCCAGTTCAGTCTGACGTTTGTTGTGTAGCAGAACTCATGTCAAGTGCATGCATCTCCTTGTAGTTTCCCATTCTGGCAGTCGGTAGGTGCTGGTTTGGCTCAGCCTGGATGTTTGCCTCTAGACGGCAGGTTTTAGAGCTTTCTAGATTCCTTGGCCAAACTCAGGTTTGGTCCTTTTTAGCTCGCTTTGTGTTCATCTTGGCCACTCATTTTTCTCCTCTTCTTTCAGTTTGTTTATTTTTAAGCAATGTGGTGGGATTTTTTTGGTGAAAGTTCTCCTCTTCTTTTTTTTTTTTCCTCTTTGGTTCCCTAGTTCTATGCCAGCCCCATGCCTCGAAGTGCCAGAAGGTCAATGAGACCATTGACTCTTCCCGTTGGGGACCTGCTTTTATTCTTAATCTCTCTAACATGTTGTGATAATGAGTTCCACAGTTTATTTTAAAAACATGAGAAAGCTGTTCCCTTCTCTTGGATTTTATTTCCCTCTGCTCATTTAACTGGTCTTTTTCTATGTACACCTCCTTAATCTCCTTTACTTGAGAAACCAGTGAGTAACTCTTCCATGTCCACTTATTAGTTATCTTTATACTTCTTCAGATTCCTTCTTTTTTTGAGGCCGAAGAGCCAACTGTGTTTGGTGTCTCCTGTGGAATATATTCCATAGAGCTGATTTTTGCTGTTACCCTTCTCTAGACTACTTGTAATCTTTGAGACGGGGTGATACGTGAGCACCGTGGCTTTGTGTCGTGGCATAAGAAGGTCTCTCTGGTTGTTCACTGCCTCTTCCCGTAGGGTTTCTTGTTTCTTTGATGCCTCTGAGCGTTTGGCTGATGATGTAGAGAGTGGTCTCCTGTGACTCCAGGAGGTTTCCTGAGCGTTCATAGCTGATTTGGGGATGTCATGGTACATATGTCATTTGATGCATTCCCTCTAATGTCTCCACCCCTCAGTGCATGAGCTTGTGTTGTGACACTGAATTTTGTGGCTGTCATTCAACTTTGTCACTTGCTGTTTTTACCTTTTTGCAGATTTTTTTAATGAAGCTTAGCGTGCTATCCAGGACAGGTTCTGCCTATTACTGTGAAATGTGGTAATTCTGGAATCTTAGAAGCAAGTGATGGGATACAGTTGTGACACCCAATATATGATGCTGATGATACTGAGCTGTTGAAGTTAAAAATAAAGCTGTGGCATGATAGAGGAAGTAATGAGAGGCCACATGATAAATTGGCTGATGTTTAGTGTGGACGAACTTCAAGTGATCCCATGGGAAGATGGGCATTCTGAATTTTCTGTAAATGATGGTGGGCCCTGGAGGTGGTGCTTGCCCTTCAGAAGAAACAATTTGAGGTTAAACACTTCTAAACATCATCTTGATACCCGTGATCAAAAGCCAACTGATATTAGGAATTAGTGTTAGTATGCAGGTGTCTTTGCTGTGCCATGCCCATCAGTCACCTGCATTTGAATGTTGAGTACAGTTCTGTTTCCCCCTGAAAAAAAAAACCAGAATTTAAAAGCATATGAAGAAGGGCAGTGTGAATAGTCAAAGGTATGGGCTGGCTTCCGTTTGAAGACTGAGTGAACAGAGTAGGGCCCTTCCTCCAAAAAAATAAATGTTTGAGGGGGGCCTCTGACCAAACTCGGTACAGCTGTAGGCAGAATAGGAAGAGTGAATAGAGAGCAACTGCTTTGAGCGTTCCCCGTGGTAATTTAATTTGATGTCCTCTGGTCCTTGTGTCAGAACTGAATTATTTTGAGAAATTTTGTGACTTCATTGTGACTAGGGCCAATGTATACACAAAGGTAGCACATGTGGTACAGAGAAAGCATTAGACTATATATTTAGAAAGTGCCAGTGCACAAGCTTGAAGCATTTTACGTGTTATTCCACCACAAATTACATACTCTGAGAGGCTGTTACGGCTACTACGTGTGACATGAGTGGTTGTTTTGGAAAGCTGTACATGTTTTACTGCTTGCAAAGCAAATATGTGTCAGCCAATAGCCTGTGTGTTTTGACCAGATGCTTTCTGTTCTTCCAGAGCCAGGGAAAACGGATGCTTTAATTTCCCCTTGTAATTAAGCCTATACCCCTAAATTGCAGGCGTGTTTGACTGTAGCCAGGTGTTGGCAGGAGATGCAGTAACAGAATGACCACTTTGTAAATCAATTCTAGGTGGAAACAAAGTGAGCCAGAGATTCAGAGGTGTCTGGCATGTTTCCCACAACCTTGCCAGGTTTCTTAAAGCCATCTTCTGGACATTTAAAGCTTCCAAATTTCCGGTGTTCACAGAAAATTGCTCTTCTTTTTTTGTGTTACACTGGAAGAAGTGGGAAGACGTCAGAAATGAGGCTGTTGATAAGTTCATCAGACTGATGGAAATGGCAGGAGCTGAAAGTCCTGGTTTATCTGGAACAAGAATGAGCAGAATACTTGACTGCGTTGCAGAAAGCATCTGTTTCCGATAGATGCAGAAGCAGAGATTTCAGGGTAACGACTGCTTTTCTTCTCTGTAATGTGAACTTCGGAGATGTGAAATGGAAGAGGGGATGTTAAAAGAAGCCTGCAAAGGAAAGTGCCCAGAGCTGACAGCTTGAGCTGTGTGGCCCAGACGTTTCAGTAGGGAAGGAGGGATCTGTCTTCTGAACCGCGTTGCCATACCGTGTCACGCAGTGGCGAGTTTGCTGAAAATCAGTGTAGAGTCCCACTTTTCCAAAGGTCTGGCCTCAAAACCTTGTCAGAGAGGACAAAGCTGTATTGAGAGAGGAATAAAAGCCAAGGTGCATGCTGACCTGAGAAGTAGCTCCATCTTCTTGAAAAACAAGCGAGCTCATGTCCAGCTGATGTAATTGCTTTCTGACTGGGACCCTCTTACCACCACTCTCCTGTTCCTGGAGTGTGAGGTCTGTTTGAAGAGGCTATTAGCAGATCAATAGGAGAGGTCTCCCATAATAGCTTATTCAGGTACTGCTGACATCACTGCTCTGATTGTCTCTTCTACCTCCTTCTGTACTTTCTGAAAACTGCTTGGAGTAATGGGTAGGGTGAGGAATGAAGAAAAGGTGGCTTTGTAACTTGGCATGCTTTTTTTTGAGCATCTCTTGAGTATGGGTTACGTGAGCTATTGAGACTGCATTTGATGTAGCCTGCTACAAAGTCATTCTCTTTCACTCCTTTTGTTAGAACTTACTAAAAAGAAGATTTGGCAATATTTTAATTGAAATCTTGGGGATAAAACTGATTTCTGGGGATCTCTTTGTA